AGAGAGAGAGAGAGAGAGAGAGAGAGAGAGAGAGAGAGAGAGAGAGAGAGAGAGAGAGATTGGTGACATTTGGATCCAAACTCGACATTGGACTTCAAACATTTTGAAGAGGGACTATTTGAGACTCGTAACGAGATTTGGTGTTGACGACTTTCCCATCTCCCCCTTTCTCTTCTTCGTCTGATCTCCTCCTCTTCCTCTGTGTATGTCTGGACCTGGCGCTTCTTGCCTGTGTATAGCACCAAGCTCCCTTCACACCTTGTGATGAGCATGATGTACGTTTGGTCTGTGTTGCAACATTGATTGGGCTAGTCAGTGGTATTCTAGCACTCTCCTACGTTGTCTTATATTACGTGATAGAGGTCAGTCTCGGTCAGGTCAGGATTTGAATCTAAAGTCTTCCCTGCGCTATAAAGCACCATTTTGTATGTATCGGAATACACATTGCTTGTTGAGATTCTACTTGCACTGCATTGTCCATTCAGTCCTTTTAGCGCAGGGATTCTACTTGCACTGCATAGTGAGTGGTATTCTAGCACTCTGCTGCGCTGTCTTATATTACGTGATAGAGGTCAGTCTCGGTCAGGTCAGGATTTGAATCTAAAGTCTTTCCTGCGCTATAAAGCACCATTTTGTATGTATCAGAATACACATTGCTTGTTGAGATTCTACTTGCACTGCATTGTCTATTCAGTCCTTTTATCACATTGCGGATCCTCGGTTTATATGTACATCGCCCAACTGGGCATGTAACAGAGAGAGGGAGAGAGTTCTTCTTCTTCCTCTTCAAAGTCCACCATCTCTTCTTCACCCTCTCGCTTCCTGACTTCTTAGTATCTGCGGACTACGAGAGAGAGAGAGAGAGAGAGAGAGAGAGAGAGAGAGAGAGAGAGAGAGAGAGTTGTGACTGTGGGACTTGACGACATTGGATCCAGACTCGGCATTGGGATTCAGACATTTGACGAGGGATTATTTGGGGCCTGTGTCGAAGACTTGGTGTTGACGACATTTCGTCCCATCTTCCCCTCTTCTTCATCTAACCCCCCTCTTCTTCGTCTGTGTACGGTTGGGGACTGGCGCATTCTTCCTGTGTGAGCGCCAGGCCCCTTCACACCATGGAATGATGATGATGTATGTTTGGGGCTGCATGGCAACATTGATTGTTCGGATCATTGGTATCTAAGTCTTCCGCTAGGCTATCTTGTACTTTGTGAGAGAGGTCGGTTCTTGTTCTGGTCTGCACCGTTATGGAATGCGACACTGGGTGAGTTCGGTGTGAGTAACACAGCTCCACTCACTCACCCGGCCCCTCGGACAATCAAGCATGTGCAAATATACAAAGAGGGTGCGCTCAATACTCACCCCAAAACTGATTGCTCTGCCTGCAGCCGCCCAAATATGGTTGGACCTCTCCCACGGCCACCACGCAGGGTGAGTGAAAACCAACTAGCATGGTGCAGTCTGGATGGTTTTGTCGGATTGTGCTCACCTTGCCACACAGCATATGAAACGAAAGGGAAAAATGACTGCATCTTACCACAGAAGGTGGGAAGGTTCATCTTCCACCATGAATAGTGACAAATGGGTCTTGCTAACGTCTGTGAGTAGATGCACTCGATTTTTGTCATTTTGTGTGCTGTGTGACGAGGAGGCCCCTTTGGACCAGCACACCCACTCGACCAAACATCTGTTGGGGTGAGTTCACAGCTGCACCTCACTCACCCTGCCACGACAGTCTGGACGCACCTGATATTGGAAAAAAACGCAGGTGAGTGTGTGCAGGTGTGAGGCCCTTGGGTGAAAACTCACAGGGGTGAGTGGCGTGAGCAGTGCAGCAAGGCCTCATTGCTCATCAATTCACCCTACATTTTAAAGAGGACGAAATTTCAGCTATCCAGGGATTGTTTCCAAGCATCTCTACCCATGGACTGTTTCCAAGCATCTCTACCCATGGACTGTTTCCAAGCATCACTACCCATGGACTGTTTGCATGCACTCACCATCTATTTTTGCTTCCTGTTAGGCCACACTCGCACTTTCTTGATGGAATCTGACCTTAATTTCACATATATCCCCGAAAGCCCTAGTGTGAGTATGCCCCTACAATAGTAGATTGCCTGCTTGTTTGAGGCCTCGCGCCACGGGTAAGTTTCAGGATGAGTAACACCACTGCACACACTCACACTAGGACAATCAAGCATATGGAAACATTTCGGTGCAGTCACTCACCCCGCTCCTCTGACAATCAATCATGTGGAAACACTTTTTGTGGTTGACGCACCCGAGCCAAGTGTACACAGGAGCGTGTACCTAACGTTCAAAGGCCAGAAGGGCAAACACAACATAGGCACATGTCTTCAGCATGGAGTCTACAGGTCCTCCATAGGACCAAAGTGGTAGTGTCACGAGTGTGCATTTTCGGGGAGAGGTTTGGAGGGGACACAGAGCCTGTCAAAGTGCATAACTGCATTTTGGGTGAGCGCCCCCTGTTAAAGAATGAAATGATGCAAGGGGCTGAGGCACAGGCCTGCACATCGCTTCACCTGTGGCAGTTTTTGGTGCGACTACTTAGGCAATTTTTGGTCTGCAGAATATATGACAAAGAAATCTCAAAAAGTTCAATCACAGATTGAGTGCCGATCTCTGTGTGATTTTCGTTTTTCTTTTCACGAGGCCAAGGGCCTCACAATTCCCGGCAGAAAATACTGATCACCCAACTTCGGTTAGAGCCCAACAGCACAACCATCAAAAACAGAAAAGCCAACTCTGGGCTATGCCACTCCTACTGCCCAACATGTCCTACCATCTCTACCTAAAACCTAAGACGGAGAAACAGATATACAGGCCTCCTCCCAATCAGAGAACACCTACTTCCTTCTCTGCTGTCTTGAGGCAGAAGCGGGGGATTCCCATGGGTGGGCGGGAAGCCCCCCGCTTGCTTGTGTCATCTGTATGTTTGCAGAATACACGTTTGTGAGCTCGCTAGGTGTCAATGGCAAGTTCATCACTGGAAAAAGATACATTGACAATCTTTATCTCACCTCATATTTCAAGAGTGACAATCCTACGGGACGAGTGAGTGCCAAAGCACGGCTGGATCTAGTTTCGAAGTGCTATGCAGACGACCTCCAGCTGGTGAGAACGGATCCCGCCAATGGCGCACTGGATTTCCTCGAGACCCGAGTTGTTGTGATTGGGTCCCCAACTCTTATTTTCATGTACCACAAATTTAAGAATGGCGGATCAATTTGGGACGATGAGCCTCTGAAGTTTTGTACCTACAGGGACTTCTCTTCGCCCGGCCCCAGAGCTACATAGTTCACCACAATAGCGAACACTATCCTTCGGATAGTGAACAATATGAATGAGCAAGGGCTAACATGCTTGAACGTGTTAACGTTGGCGGACGAGCTCCGGAGGTTAGGCTACCCCTCCAGGGTTATTTTGGCCGGAATTAATTGGATGAAAAGGAGGGTCGACAACCCCATCCGGACAAATCTGGGGAAAATAATTGAAGGGCGACTACAACAAATAAACAACCCCTTCTAGTGCAAGGAATATGAGTGTGAGCGATATACATAAAACCAAGTTGTGAAATCACACAGCTGAGCAAGTAGTAGTATCCCAAGTAGAGAATACAAATGCACCGAGAAAACCATCCATAAAGAGCAATACAATGAAGTATTGAGCCAATGTCCAAGCCCGTAGGCCACACCAACACAGTATCCAGAGTCGCTCTCTCTGTCTGGCGTACAGCGCCCAGCCTACTCTACCATACTATCCTACTCTACAACTGGTTCACACAACAGGATCACTTCGGCTCACGAAGACCAATGTACATGCCTGTCCACACCATCGGTGACCTCTCTTCATGTACCAGGTACATATCTCGTCACCCTCAATCAGACCTTGATTACCCCACACAGCACCTCACTCCCTGAAGACCACCCGATCATCCGCTGTACCCCCTGGCGCCTAGCAGCCCGGCTATGGCCATCTGCGCCCAGCTGCCCTGCAGCTCCCCACCTCACCTCTCGCGCCCCGTCAGCGCCCTTGGCAGCAGCGCAGCAGCACTTTCGCATTGCCAGCGCTGGCCAGCATGCCTCGCCTCGGCTGCCTCACTTCCTTTATGGAAGTGGCAGCCTGCTGCATGCTGCGTGCGGCCTGGCTGGAAGCTTCCAGTAGCTTCCGGTTGGGCCCCAGACCTTGTTCCCAGGCCGAGACTTACAGTTGAGGGCCTGGGCCCTTTTCAGTTGGGCGCGGCCTGGGTCTGCGCTGTTAGCTGCATCTGCGCAGGGCCCCCGGGTAGGTGCGTCGGCTGTACTGCTTTTCCAGAGGCCGACGGCCTGCTTCTCAATGTATCGGCCCTGCTTTGTGTGTAGGCGCCCAGGCACAACTTTTTCGTGGCCTGGGCCAACTGTACGGCGCAGCTTAGTGAGGCTCGCGCGTTCACTCAACCAACTGACGTGCTGCAAGAGCCTGAATACCCACATATGGAAATGTCGAATTTGGCCTGTGACGAATATTCAGGCCCGCCTTCACTTAGGGCGGGCACTTGGCTTGCTGGGGTCTTGGCCCAGAACAATGTCTGATAGGGCCCCTTGAGGGCTTGTTCCTCACATTCCATCCCCCTTAGCTTCGAAAGTCCGCTGAGATGCTTCATGTTGGTGCCTTCCCCTTCAGTCTTTTCTCATAATCGGCCACGATCTGAGGAGCTGTCTTGACAAGTTCCTCCCTTGAAATCCATCGATCTTCCTTCGGATCTGTATGATGCCTGAAATGTACTCTGTATTCCCTCGCCAGGTGGCTTAGGAACAGGTGTATCTCTGTGATCCAGGATGTCGTCGACATCCACTTGGCCATCCATGGTTCGGGGCAGCATAGACCTCCGTAATGGGAACTGTGCTGTCTCAGCGAAAGGTGTAAGTGACTAGGGATACGAATGACGTACGAAGGACCATCCATATCATTCCTGACAATGTCCAGGACTTCCCAAGGACCAAAATACTGCGGCATTAGTTTTCTAGAGATGCCAAACTCCTGTCCCAACTCACTAGCCTTGACCCAGACGCGTTCCCCTACCTGAAATGTGGACTGTCGGCGACGCTTGTTCTCAGAAGCAATCATGACTTCCTGAGATTTCTTGATATGCTCGACAGTCTGCTGCAGCAGTTTCTCATATTGGACACCAAATTCAACGGTTGCAGGCGTTGCAGCAGTTCGGTTCTCAGGCAGGAGGAAGTCTAGAGCAGATCTAGGCTTCCATTCCAGATGTAGTTGATTAGGACTGACACCGATGGTGCTGTGTACAGCGTTGTTGTACAGACTGGCGATGAGAGGCAACTTCTCATCCCAGTCATCCTGGCTGGGCTTGATGTAATGCCTCAGCAGATGCTGCACCACTCGGTTCATCTGTTCAGCCTGCCCATTTGCTTCGGGATGATTCCCAGAAGTCATCTGGAGCTGGCTGCCCATCTGTTCGGCGGCCTGTTTCCACATCTCACTAGTGAAACGAACATCTCTATCACTAACGATAGTCTTACGCAATCCAAAATCACGCACCCAGTTGTCCATGAACAACTTGATGACGTACTCCGTCCTGGCAGTCTCTGGCATGGCGATTAGTCTAGCGTACTTAGTGAACCTATCCACTATGACGAAAATGTGCCTCTTGCCATTCTTGCTGGTCACGAGAGTGTCCATGAAGTCCATGGAGATACTCGGACCCGGGCCAGCAGGAATGGGTAAAGGCTTGAGTAACCCAAGCGGAGCTTGAGTCCGCGGCTTGTCCCGCTGACAGACCTGACAGGTCTCCACATACTTCTTCACATCCTCAAGCATGTTAGGCCACCAGAATCGCTGTACTAAATTAGCGCTAATCTTCTTATAGCCGAAGTGTCCCATTGCATCGTGGCACTCACCTAAAAATAAACTACGCAAAGTTTCTCTAGATGGAACAACTAACCTCGTAAACCCTGCCTTCTCAAGAAAGAGTAACCCATCCACCATCACAAACTCGTCAGTAGTGGCCTTGTCCTTAGCCTGAAGTTTGTTGATGATGTCCATCGTGATGGGATCTTCCTTGTAGGCTTCATCCAATGATCGAGTTACATCTTCAAATAGACCAAACTTAGAAATCAGCGCACCTAGGTAATCTGCCCTCCTAGACAACGCGTCTGCAACTTTGTTGTACTCTCCCTTCAAATAGTCTAGTTTGAAATCATATTGATCTATGACTTCAATCCAACGTTTGAGTGCATCGGAGAGAACTGGTTGAGTCTTGATCCACTTGAGGGTCTGATGGTCAGTTCTCAAGTAGAAGAACCTTCCTAACAGATAGTGCCTCCAGTGGACAAGTGCCTTCTAAAAAGCGTAGAGTTCCCTCTCGTAGGTGGACTTTGCCAACTTCTTTGAAGGCATCTTTTTGCTCATGTACTCGATCGGTCTCAACTTCTTCCCTTCCTGCTGAGCCAGCACTGCGCCAATCCCATATTGACTTGCGTCAGTGGTCACAACAAATGGCCTTTGCGGGTCCGGTACCATGAGAACCTCATGATGCGGGAGAGCATGCTTCAAACGCTTGAAAGCTGCCTAACACTCGTCGGTCCAGTCCCACGGTGTGTCAAGTCGAGTTAGATCAGTCAAGGAAGATGCGATCGTACTATAATTCTTTACGAAATTGCAGAAATAACCACACATTCCCAAGAACGATCTGACCTCAGTCACTGACTGGGGTCGTGGCCAGTCACGTATGCTGGCCACCTTCGCATCTTCGGGCCTAATCCCATCCGTGGATACTTCATGACCCAAGTACAAGATTCAAGTGCGACCGAATTCACATTTCTCTATGTTTATCTTATACTTGTGCTGCCAAAGGAGTAAAAATATTGTGTCTACATGCTGAGCATGCTCCTCGACAGATCTACTAAAGATAAGTATGTCGTCAAGGTACACGACAACAAACTTATCCAAGTAGTCATGGAAGATCCTATTCACGGCGTGCTGGAATGTACCCGGCGCATTGCAAAGGCCAAAGGGCATCACCACAAACTCGTACAGACCGTACCTGGTCTGAAATGCGGTTTTGTGCTGGTCCTCTAGTCTAATGGCAATCTGATGGTAGCCGGATTTTAAGTCTATCTTTGTGTAGTACTTACATCCCTGCACCCTATCCAATAGGTCGTCGATGCGTGGTAGAGGCTCTGCGTTCTTAACGGTGATGGCATTGAGGCCTCTATAATCAATGCACATCCTTAGTGTTCCCCCTTTCTTTGGAACGAATAAGACAGGTGAGCCATAGGGGGAAGTGCTAGGCCGAATCCAACTCTTCTCTGTGAGCTCTTTCAGTTGCCGCCGAAGTTCGTCCAACTCGGTTGGGGCCATCCTATAGATTCTTCCCTTAGGTGTTTTACTATCGGGGATAATCTCTATGGCATGGACAATCTCCCTGTCTACGACACCCGTAGGCTCCTCAAACAGATCACGGTACTTTGCGACGATGGTCTCTATCTCTAGGGGTGTTTTAACGGCCTCCCCTTTTGCAGAGACATAGACAAAGTACATTCCTTCCTCTAGGTTCTGTTTATAATAGTTATAAAAGGCAGATGTGCATAAGCACCCATAGGAGTCTACTAACCTACTGGCTTTGTATTTGGCCAGCCTCACGGTTCTCCCAGTAGGCAACTCGTGCTTCAACACCTTGTCCCAGTCAAACTGGGGCTTGGCAACCTCGAGGTAATACATGCCCAACAACATGTCAAAGGGCAACTCGTCGCTCACCAGGAATGATATCTTATGATTTAACTCTCCTCCTGGGTAGGAGAATGTGCAGACTACATCTTTAACGTAGTCCTCCACCATCATGCGCTCTTTGTTGGCCAAAGTAGATGCTACCGGTCTACTAAGGCGMTGCACCCGGTCCTTTAGGCACAGTCTGTCAACGCAGYCGCGACTTATGAAGTTTYGCGTGGAGCCAATGTCTAYGAAGGCGCCGCACTTGYSACCACCCACATCAACTTCCACAACGAAGTGCTCCCCTCTAGGACCTCTACTCAATGCCACCCAGGACTCACGAGGGTCCCTTGCCGACCACTCACCTTGAAGGTCCTCTAAGGCCTCAGACACATCCAACGTACAAAGTATAGTTGGGTCCGGATGCGTTTGCGAGGTGACTAAGGAGTCAATAGCTTTGGCCATCTCTTGAAACGGGGAGGGTACATCACCCGCTTCAACGAGTGTAGAAGCAGCTATAACTTCTACTGGCCCTAAGTGTTTCCCGAACTGGAACTCGTAGAGGCCCCAAAATTAAAAAGAAGAAGAAAACCCACCCTTAGGAGGGATCTTCTGCGAGACCTTCGGGTTCTTGCACTTGAACTGTGTATGACCGTACTCACCTCAGTTAATGCAAGCACCAGGGCTCCAACGGTCCCGCCACACTTCTTGATCCAGACCTGCTCTAACCCAAGCAGCTATTTTGTTTGGGTTAGCGGCCTGCCCCTTACTCCTTTGTTGACCGCCCTTGCCGCGGCCAGTTGCCTTAGTCTTAACTACGGCGGCAAGTACTCGCTCCACTCGCGATGGTCTTCGTCCCTTGTCCACGTGATTCGTACCCCGACCAGGCACACCGAAAGCTCGACGAAGTGCTCGCGCCAAAGTCTCCATTGCCCAGGATCGAGAAGGGGGACTGCGAGCGGCTCTAAACAAAAAGAGAGACGAGGGTGGAGACTAGATTGCCAGAAGGTGGGAAAGAGAGATGGGAGGGCAAAGGTGGAGAGTTGGGAGTGGTTCATCGAGGAGGTTGGAAGGGGACGAGTTCTGGCGGCACCACCGCTGGCTCGTGCTGGAATGCTCGGATCCCTCCGAGCTCGACACCGTCCGTGGGGAAAAGATTATCCCCTCTGCGCATAAGAGAGCGGTTCCACTCCGTGGCCAGTTGCTGCGCCCACTTCCTTAGTGACGTCCGGATGGCAGTATGTCGGAGCGCATTGACCGTGCTGATGTCGCCGCTGAATCCGACGACCGTGGACACGTGGCTAATCCCCGGAGCTGATCGCCGATGGACAGCCACTGCTTCTGCCAGTACCACCGCCCGAGGACTGCCCGCGAATCGAAACTCAGCCGCTGCATACACTCCCGAAGTGCAGAAGAACTGCGCCAGTCACAGAAGATCCAGGTTGCATCGTGGATGGCACACATGTCGAATCGCCGAGATGTAACCCCGTGGCGTTAAGAGATGGTCGCTGAGGGCTTGCTCCGTGAGAAAGCTCATGGCAATGGCAGCGGGGACGGGGTGTCTGAGAAAGAACGAGATGAAGAAGGATAGACATGTGATCAGCAATCGTCGTCCTCTTCTTCGGCGGAGAAGGAGTCGGATGAAGGCAAAGATGGGGAGGAAGGAACGGGACGTAGGTAGGACACGTGGTGGATGATCGGTCGAGCCTATCGGCTGCCGGAGACCTCAGGTGCAAAACGCACGGTGTTCACGCCGTTTGGTCCGAGCTCAATCACGCGGAATCCCCCGAAGAATCGTGGCGCTAGCTTACCCTGACGAGCACATTTCCTCATCTGCACGATGTCCCCCAATTTGTACTAGGGTCGTGGACCTGCGTTCCCGTTCCGGGCCTCATAGCTTCGGACTTGTCAGTCGTGGGCCAACTCGGTCATTTTCTGGCGTTTTCAGGCTAGCCTGGGGATGGACCGTTCCATTAGCTCTAAGTGCCACTTGGCCTTGTCCCGAACCGTGGCCCTTGTGGGTCGTCGGTTCAGCGTTGACTCATCGGGGAGGCTCGATATCGAAACGCAAGCGACGCTATTGGTCCTTAATTGGAAGGGGCTCAGGCCCATCGATTCGTGGGGCGTTCCGCGGTGGACCGCCAGGATGTGGTCGACAATATCGGGCCAAGGCCTCGGATCCCGTGCCGCGATGTTTCGTCGCAGCACTATCTTTATCACCCTATTTGCGTTTTCTACCAGCCCGTTGGATTGCGACATGTGGGGCGCGGTATTCCGCACAGCGACACCGTGTATGACCAGATTCCTCAACACTTCCCCTCTGAATTCCGCCTCATTATCGGTCAGGATCTCTTCTGTGTCCTGGTGCATCCCGAAAAAACGATTAACATACCGCGCAATTTCGGCGGCTTGTCGCGTGCGACATGGGTAGGCCTCGATCCATTTCGAAAAATGGTCGACAAATACCAACAGGACTGAATATTCACAGCTATTAGGACCACGGGGTACCACGATATCGGTAGTATCCATGCTGACCCTTTGAAAAGACCGCTCAACTACCGTCGGTACTATCGATCTTGGCGGTTGGATCGGCGCCTTGTCGGCAGCACAGACTTGACAGTTTGCGACGATGAATTTCACATCGTCTTGAATATTGGACCAGTACCATTCATTTTTGTCGATTGTCAACTCCATAATTCGTACGGCAAAATGGGTTGATGTTTCCTCGTGTGCTGTCTTCACCCAGTCATACCTCATGAACGGGTGCGGAACTACCATCCAAATCCCACTACCATCCGTTTTCCGTTTCTCCAATCGACCCTCATTCCAGCGATAATCCCGCGCCCTTTCATTGACCCTCCTCTGATCTTCCTTGGTGAAGTCCGTGAGGGGGTTACCTACTAGAGTAGCAATCAAAGCAATATTCGTCCATACTTCAGCCCTTCTAAACTTATGGGTCCTCTCCAACCCTTCTGACGTGGCATCCAAAAAGCGAGCCTCGGTCGGGATCATGTCAAACCGACACAAGGGGCACAGCCACGGCTTACTAACATTTCTGTATTGGATGCACGAGCCATGGGCTCGTGCGACACACTGTCGACAATCTACCCATTTTGCATAGCCTTCCCCGTCAGGACGCATGGAGACCGAATATACGCGAGAAATTGCTTCACAAAAATAACAAAATTTATCAGGCAGAGAGAGAAGAGATGCGGAGGAGAGGGGAGAAAGAGGGGTTACGGGTTTACCTCCGTCACCCATTGCCACCAGCCTGCTTCTTGCCACGTGGAAGAACTGCCACTTGTCCGTACTTAGGCCCGCTCGCCGACTCCGGTTCTTTCCACGGAATGATTTCCTTGCCCTTAGGTACTTTAGCGGGTCGGTGTAGACGTGTCAGTCCGTCCGCGTTGCCGTGTCTCTCCGTCTTTCGATGGATGATGTCGAAATCGTACTCCTGCAGGCGCACTGCCCAACGTCCAATCATGTCGGTGTAATTAGTGAGTTTCTTCAAAGCCAGCAGAGGCTCATGAGCGGTCACAAGGCGGAACTTCTGTCCGTAGAGATATGGATGGAAGTGCTGGATTCCCCAGACTACTGCATAGCATTTGCCTTGAGGTGCTGAATCATTCCTTCGTTCGTCCGGCACTGTTCGTGACGCGTACTCGATGACGTGTTCGCGACCATCGTTCCCCTTCTGCGCTAAAATGGCAGAGATCGCTTCCGGTTGCCAGTCCGTTATAAGAATAAATTGCTTGGTAGGGTCCGGCCGAATCAAAATTGGTGCAGTGGCCAGGGCCTCCTTGAGTGCATCAAAGGCTTGCCCGCACTCAGAGTCCCACTGCAGAGGCTGGTCCTTCCTAAGCAGGTTCGTGAGAGGTCGAGCAATCACCACAAAACCTTTGATAAAACGGCAGTAGTACGATGCCAGGCCTAAGAAGGCTCGAACCTGCGTCAGTGACGTTGGAACTGGGGCTTCTTTTACGACCGCAACTTTTATGGAATCCCGTCGCAGCCCTCCACGTGTCACTACGTACCCCAAGAACGAAATTTCCGAGAGGAAAAATTCGCTTTTCTCAAGTGCAATCTTGAATCCAGCATCCCTTAGTGCTCCCAACGTCCATTCGATGTGTTGCGCATGTCCGTGATAGGTCTCCGAGTAGACAAGGATATCATCCATGTACACGATCACGCAAAAGTTGATCATTCCCTGAGTCAGTCGTGTCTTGTTGACGAAGTTCTGAAAGGTCACGTTCATTGTTCGTTACAAATTCCCATCGGACATTGAAACGTGGCAGGCGCGTTACAAATTCCCATCGGACATCGAACCCACTGCCACGTGCCTTCGAACAACACGAAGGCCGTCTTTGGCTGATCTTCCTCCTTAACCAGGATGTGATGGAAGCCACCAAATATCAAACTTACTGAAATAATTAGCACATCCAATCGCATCCAGCAAATCATCAATCCGGGGGAGGGGATACACATCTTTAATCGTGATCTCATTCAGTTTGCGATAATCGATGCATATGCCAATGGATCCGTTCTTTCTAGGTACTAACACCACTGGAAATGACCATGCTCCAATGGCAGGTTCGATCCAACCGCTTGCTTCCAATTCCCGAATTCGTTCGAGAGCCTTTTTCCGTTCTATCAGGGAATATCGGTAAGGCTTGCAGTGAATTGGGGAATGATTTCCCGTCTAAATTTTGTGTTGAATGACCAACGACAAGCCAATGTCAGTGTCCGTTACACTAATCGCTCCCTGATATTCCGTCAGAATGTCCGCAATCAAACGATGAATCTCATCAGGTACGTACTGTGGAACGTGTAATTCGTAAGGTTGATCTCAGATCCGTACGTCGATCTGCTTCGTGTGCGCTTGTTTCGCTACACATGGTCCAATCGCCAGGAGAACACCGTGGCCATCATCTGGGCGTCTTCCTCCCGGATGGCCATGTGTCCTTCTGGGGTGATTCCATCGCAGATATCCTGCCATGGTATGGTTTTAGTCGTGATCTTAACTCCGAGCTCATCTGATTCAGCCTCAAAACGCCCAGGGGGTTCCAAAGATCTGGCTTCCGCCCCCAGGCGTAACAGTCGTACTTCTTTTGCGGGTGTCAACAGGGACTTCGGGAGATCTGTGATATCACAGTAGTGTTTTTTGTCGTTATATCGGGCGAGGAGAGGAGAGATTCCTTCGTAAAGGGTTTGAGGGGGTTCCAAAGAATCGACCATCCTCGAAATCTGTACGAGGGGTTCACCCAAAATCACCTATTTGGTCTTTTGTACATTCCGACTGGTTAGATGCATCGTTCTTGCAATCGTTCTGGGCGGCGGGTAATAAATGCGTTGTCGTGCCAATTCCAGGATTACCGGATCATTTTCGTCGCTGCTATCCGCATCCTTCGATGATGACTCATCGTCTGCAAAGTTTTCCCAAGTGATCATGCGAAGCGTCCCCACTATCATCGGAGAAACTCGCGGCACTGCGCTGGTATTAGTACGAAGAGTCAGCCTCATAGGTACAGCATAGGGTTTTCCTCCCGTATTTCGGAGGATGATTGATTGTCGCTCGAGATCCAGGTTTGCTCGTAACGCCACAAGAGCGGGAAGGCCGAAAAGGACGTCGTAGGTGGTTACGTCTAATACCACGACATCTCCTAGCGCATGCACCTTTCCTAATCGAAAAGCGACATTGGTCATTCGTCCCACTGTCTTGATCTTTTCTTCGTCTGCCGAAACGAGCTGATCCTTTTCCGCAAGCATGATTAAATCGTTTCTCCTACCTGCCCTCTCAACTACTCGCAGCGAAATAGCCAAAACAACGGCTCTCGAATCAATGATCGCATTGTACGAAATTCCCCATACTTCAGTGTCACATTCCGCAGATTTCCAAGGGATGGGTTTAATCCGTAGGAAATGATCGTCTTTCTGGATTAAGCCTACCCGTATCGGATCCGAAGTGCAAGCTGCATTTTCGTCCTGCGTGGGGTTTTTACCCTTCACGTTCGTTGTTCGGGCGAGGGCGAATCGTTTTCGATTCGCCTTACAATGTTGTAGCATTCACTCATTAGCTTGTTCAAAGATCGAGAGCAGCTGGCAGATTGGAAGTGGAATCCGATGGTCCAAGGCTCGGATGATGTTCAACACATCGATTTCCCCAGTGACGTAGGTGGGTCCTCCCGACTCCATCTTTCCTGGAGAAGGTCGCCACTCCGTCACTTCTTTTTGCTCCGGCGCCGGTCTGATCGTTCCAATCATTCCAAGCCCCGGATAACCCAGCGACACATATTGGTCCAACGGGATGAGCTCAACAGCTTCTTCCGTGGTAGCTAACGCACTTCCTCCGCCTTCCATTTCTTCCATCAGGGCTCCTACCCGTCCAAGTCCGTTAGCGATGGGGGTCGCTGCCATTGGTGCGACCCCGACCCGTTGTTGCGGGGGCCGGTGGGGGCAATCACGGGCTAGATGCCCCGGTTGATGGCATGCATAACAAACATTCAAATTGCTTGCGGCCCCTCCAAGTGCAAGTGTCGGGGCTAGTCCTTGTTGGATTGGAGCGGCACGTACTACGATGGGCCTCATGTTCCTCATCATAGCTTCTAGCCGAGCGTTATGCTCTCGCTGTTCCTTTTTGCTTTCCTTGATTAGGCTAATTAACGTTTTGGTCAGTTCAAAAATGGCAGCGGACTCATTTGACCTCACAGGGTTCTCAATCGGTGGTAGGGGTGCCATCATTACAGGTGTTGGCATCGCAGGAACAGGGACACTCGTGATTACACTCGGGGTCGATCGTTTAGGGGCTATCTGTTCCAGATAGGTGACTGGGCCAGACACAAATCCCATATTCTCGAACTCGTTTTGCAACGCGACCAGCTCAGCTTTTGCCCTCGCAAGTTCGGACGAATCTCCTTCCTTAGGATAGTCTTCTCCTTCCAGGAAACTCGCCGCGAACTTTCGTTCCATCTCCTCTGCAGCGGCCATAATTTGTTGCAGCGTATGATCGATGGGGGAGAACTATTTTCGTTGCTTCGCCCTTATCGTTCGGCTGCGAAGTCCATCGCTAAACAAATCTCTCCGGACTTGTTCGCCCCGCTCAGTTTTCACAAACATTCGGTAGAATCGGTTTCGATATTCCGCGATAGACTCAAGAGGTTTTTGCACCCGGTCTTTAATCATGAAAACGGCTTGCTCTGGATGGACATAGTCAAATCGATTCAAAAAGTCTCGCTCGAAAGTTGGAAGATCCACCCATACCTAGGTACTAAACCAATGATGAGCGTCTCCACCTAACCAGGCGGGAATATTTACCTGAGCTTCGTTATCGTCATACTACTGTGCCCGGAGCGTGGCCAACCATGCTCCTGCGAGATGATGGGCAGGGTCAAACAGATAGAGATCAGGTGGCGTCATGGGAGCCCGTGCTCGTGGGGCGGGTTGATTAGGATTTCATTGTTGATTAACATTCTGCTCCGGATTCGGATTCTGTAGATTAGCGTTCATGTTGGTTGCCCGTCATTTAGCCGATCTACTTCGGGTCATGACGGGGTCGCGTCTATGCGCATTCCGGGGTCGAGGTCGCCCTCGGTTAGCCAGATCGCTCAATTAGCGTGTTGTTAGTCCTATAACCCGGCCACGTGTCGGGCTCCGATACCAACCTCACGCCCAACGCGACTTCCTGATCGGAGTATGATGTGGGCCTGGAAGTGCAAAAAGGGGTGTGCCAAGGATTTTTGGGAAAGTGGAGGTGGAGTCCAAGGTCAAAACTGAGATCTCCTGTGGCATGGTTTTTCGGGGGCACGAGTGCAATTTGACTGAGAGGGCGGACCTCTTCCGGTCGTAAGGCAGATGGCATGCGCAGATCGTTCAAGGCCGCTCGATCCACCTGTTTTGATGACGGGTTCGTTGAAAGGTCCATTCGGGGTGAATGTGATCCTGATGAGTCAGGCCGTCGGCTGTCGCCACGTGGCGCCGGTCACCGCGCGTTCAGGTTGGGCCTTCGGGCTTCCGAGGCTCTCTGGTTGCCGGGTCGCCAACAATTTCCGCAGGGCGTGCGGGGCCAGTATGGGGCTATGGCCTTCCACGGGACGACTCTGAGTTGATGGTACGGGAGAAGAAGACGGAAGGGAGGGAAATTAGTGGAGATAACAACAAAACCGGGGGAAATGAAGTAGTGGGTGTGGTCCAAAGTGGGGAAATCAGAGCACCGGGGGTCGCTGGTTGTGGCACAGTGAAACTCCCTAGGACACAGTCGATTCTCTTTTAGGCACGGGAATCTCTGTCGGAGGCTCTCTTCTATCCAAGGGGTGAAGTATTCCGGGTCGTACAACGACTCTGAGCTCCCGGAGCGTGTCATTATGTCATCGTAGAGCCGCGAAACTCCTAAGGGTGTGTCTTTGCCGATTGCGATCACCGCGTGCGAGTACGTGCAAGCCGCGCGAGTTGAATCGCACTTACACGTGTTCGCACGGGATGATCGCATCGTCGCAGACGCAGGATGGCCACATCCAATCGCGCAACGTTTTTGCTACCATTAATCCTTTCCGGAGGTGGCGAATCGACACGCGTGGACACGTGTAGATGCGCAAATCACATCGCATTTACACGCGCCCTCGCGAGACGTTTGTTGGCTTCGGGGCAAACAGATATCCGATCATCTAATTACTCCGCAATTTCTGAGCATGGAAGACGCGACAACAACTCAACCAGTGGATAAGCAAAAATGAAAACAGTATTGATGACTACGCAAAATTCCTACCCTACTCATGAGTGCATCAAGACGATAAACAAAGGCAAGGATCGGGCATAAGGACAAGCAAACAGGCATGACATCCATTCATTCAGCATAACACACACAACATCAGAGATTGAAATCACAAAAATGAGTGTGGGCGAGAGAAAACCAAGCCAAGATTCCAAAAACAAAAACGGGCAAGTCGCCTTGATCCAAAATCAAAATTTATATACACCAGCAGAGAGGGAGAAAAGACAAAAGAAATAGCAAATCCGCGCCCATCAGCCTCAGCTCCCTCTTCCTCTCTCTCTCGCTCTGCAGACAGTCGGTCGTCGCGCACCAACCCACAAAGTCATCACCCCGCTTAGTCCTCCCGCACCCGTCAGGTTCGCCCGCGCCCACAGTCCGTCGTGGCCCCCGTCAGCCCCGCACGTTTGGTACCAGCTCGTCGGGTCGCCCGACTCCCACTTCAACTCACCTCTTACTTCGCTCGCGAGCCGACCCTCACTGGTCGCACTACCCCGAGCTTCCACTTAGCTGGTTAAGAGAGCTAACTAATCGCGCAGCCGGAATTTATAGCGTACATGCATGCGCGAAGAACACAGAATTACAAGGACTTAGTAGGAAGATCTAGAGAGGGAGTGTCTACGTTCTCCATGGCCCGATCGCGGCGTGGGGGACGTAGCCGCTCTCCACTCATCGATCCGATCATGCAGACCGCGGCTACCAAAACACAGCGAGAAGAAAGAGAAGAAGGGCGGGAAAGGCGAAGCACAAGAAGAAAGATACAGTTACAATGGGCCCGCCCAAAATTACAGTTACACACACGATTAAAGGCGCCGACTAATCCGAGTTCCGTTGCAGCCGCACGAAGAAGCGCGTAAGCAAAAAGCGCCGCGCGGCCCAAAAAAATCCTAATTACAAAATTCCTAAATTCCTATCTAATACAGAAAAAAGGCGGAAAGCACAAATTCCGAAAGGAAAGTCCGAAATTCAGAGAGCCACCGGGGCTCGACAAGATTCGAGAAGGAATAAAAAAAAGGAAATTCAAAAAGAACGAAGCAAGATTCCCGCGCGATGTCTGCGCCTAAATTCCAAAATCGAAACAAAAGAAGCGACGTCAACAGTTATTAATCGCGCGCACAGCGGCGCGCCGCAGACACGGCCAATCAATCAATCAATCGTCCCGGGACTCACCCGGCCCCGAACCCAACCATTCGAAAAGAGACGACGAAAAAGACGAAGAGGCAGGGACACCAATGCAATTTCCTTCCAATCCCGATCTCCCGTAATTGGCCCATCCTTCCCAGCTTAGGACCCCTCATTGCTATCGCGCAGGAAATCGCACGGTGCAGACATCGGTTCGTCACAGTCGCTGATGTGGCCGCTGCCACATGTATTATTGGATGGCGTTGCTGCTGCCATTGTTCTACTGTGGCTGAAGAGGCGAGGCTACGGGACTTATATTGCTGTTCTGATTATCGTCATTCAGGGGTGATCGGGACTGTGGAGAGATCGTGGATACGTACCTGGTTGTCTTCATGTCGATATTGCTCCAGCGATGACGAGGGACTGATTAGACGTGCCACGTGGCACATTGAGGTTACTTCAGATACTCGTTCAGACTATTGACTATCGAGGTGGTGATTGAGGAGGGAGCCCGAAGCACGAGTGGGCCTATTTCCTCTCCTTTGTCTAATCTCCCTCCTCTCTCTTCGTTTGTGTATGATTATCTCATCTCATTCTGTCTGGATACGATTTTGACTATTGATAATCATCAACTGGTTGACATTCTGGGCTTGCATTGTTGACGACTGTCTTCAAGATCTGGGTTCACTGCACTATTTGAAAAAAAGTGACTAGAACGAAAATCTCATATTTTTAGGGTAAGTTCAATATAACGGTCGGGCATTATTTTCGGGTGAAGACGGTAGTATTTTTGCATCCGTATGGCACCACTGGATGTGGTCGGCTAAAGTTAGTAAATGAATGTACCTAGGCCTCAGTATGCGTAAAGGGAATGTGAATTTTGTAGAAGCTGTACTGCGCTCCTTTGCGTCGAAGCATGGTTCTGCAGTTCATACTGCCACTCCTGCCGTGCACGGGAAAGGCAAGTAACAACTTTCAAATAGTATTTAAATAACTTAGGTAGAATGCTTATTCCTCAATCTGAATGGCGTATGAGTAAAACGATTGAAATCCTTAATGGTGTCTGCATATCAAGGAGATGTGGGGACGAAGGTGATAGCGCCATGATACTAAAACGCATGCCATCTTCTTCCAATACCTCGCCCACGTATAAAAAACAGTCCCGGCACGTTAACGGCCGGGACATTCGGGGGTCTGCCAGGAGAACGCCCCGTAGCTCCGAGCACGACCTTTTCGTTTCCCAAGAGAGATAAAACAAAAGAAATGCCACAAAACAAAAGAAAAGAAAAGGAAATCCTACTTTCTCAAAAAAAAACAAAAAAAGAAAAACAAAGAGAGAGAGGGAGAGAGGGCGCCGGAGGACACCAAATGTTCAGAACGAGAATGAATCTGCCCACCATTTGGCAGAGGATTCATTCTCATTTTGCACATTCGTGGAGGGGGCAGAGAGAGAGAGAGAGAGAGAGAGAGAGAGAGAGAGAGAGAGAGAGAGAGA